CTGTTGACAGGATCACAGTTTTCTTACCACTGCATGATCGATTTCAGCCATGTTACACAAATGTCTAAAACATTATACAAACTTCTAGGCTGTCTCCCACAACAGAAATCTTTAAGCCATACTTTAAAAGATAGCATCAAGCTCAGTTTCGGGTATCGGATCGGTAATTACGGTGATGGCTGATGGTAAGTGTCGAATTATAGCCAACACTGCGTGTTAACATTATTTCCTCAAATATCCCTATTTTGACTCCATGTGTAAAAGCTGTAATATTTAGGAGAGTCAAAATAGGGATTTGCAGCTTGTTAACACTACATTTCAAACCTCAAGCTTGTTTGTTTACCTTTTGACGATTGCATTGTCACTATAAGTACCTATCTCGTTTCTATAACTTTTTGAAAGATCCCTATTCTCCCTTTTTAAATTAACAATTTTTAATAATATTGTTTAACTTTAACAAATTTGTCATATAAGCTGCCATACACAGGCTCTGAAATTGGCGTTATATGAAAGCCCTATTTGAGACTACCTAACACTTGCTACATATAGTAAATAACATATATTTTTCCTTCACATCCACGTTCAGTGGCGCCAATGATGCCTAATAAAATAGGCCTGTTCTCTAATTCAATAAGATGCTAGACGCCGTTTTATCATTAGAGTCGTGTGTCATCCCGAGTGTCTGGACGCCAGAGGGCAGCGATTAACAGCATTCATTTCTTACTCTAGTGTGGCGCCACTTCATGTACATCGAAAATAAGTTTAGTGGAATCTCGCTCTTATAAAAATAAATATTTTATATTGATCGTGGATTCATCACTTATCCTAAAATACGTGTTAACTACGTTCTTTCTTTCCTCTTAAAGTCTGGAGTCTGTGCTGTATCATCCACTTCAAAAAGTACAGTGCGTCCTAGTGGCGCCTATCGATTTCTTAACTACTGGTTTATTTGTCTTCTAGCGGACACTCTTTGAAAAAACGTTTTTGTTTCTTTTTTTATGTGAAAGATTTTGGATTTTGGAATTTTCATTAGTCATTCTTTAGGCACACGTTTGTTAAAGGTAACTTGTTTAATAAGAACCCATTTTACAAAATTTTTGACATCGTGGTTATAAATATAACGTAGCTGTCGCTTTATTTGTTTGTTAAATTTCACACAAAGCTACTCGATGGCTATCTGCGCTAGTATTCTTTAATTTTGAAGTAATAGACTAGAGAGAAGATAGCTAGTCAACCACCAGCTCTTGGGTTACTTTTTACCAACAAATAGTGGAATTAACCATTACTTTATAACGCTCCCACGGCTGAAAGAGTGAGCATGTTCGGTGACGATATTCGAACCCACGACCTGAAGATTGTGAGTTGATCGAACCTAACATGTTCCTACATGCAGCCGGAACAAAATACTGGGCCTAATAAACAGACCTTAACATAGCTGGAGACGGCTTGAATGGGTAATGAAGAAAAACTTTAATGATGACAAAACCTTGTCGAAACGTTGTACATTTGCTGTTATGTTAAACTTATAATAAAGTTTTTCTTCATTACCCATTCAAGCCGTCTCCAGCCATTGTTAGTCTCAAAGTGGGTTCCTCGTCATCGAATGAGACCTTAACATAGGTTAATACTGTATAAATTTTACCTTACTTTGGAACTTTATATAACGGATCACTCTGCTGGGTTTTTGATACTAATTGTTTTGATCATTCGATATTAATCTTTCCATGTTAACAGATCGTGTTTGCTGACGAGTGTACAGAAGCTGAAGGCAGAGCGTGGCACATGAAACACTTCTGTTGTTTCGAGTGTGATCGGCAGCTAGGAGGGCAGCGGTACATCATGAGGGAAGGGAGGCCATATTGTCTTCACTGTTTCGACGCCATGTTTGCTGAATACTGCGATACGTGTGGAGAGCCAATAGGGGTCGACCAGGGACAAATGTCACACGAGGGTCAGCACTGGCACGCCACAGAAACGTGCTTCCGCTGTTACACCTGTCACGTGCCACTACTAGGACGGCCTTTTCTTCCACGGCGTGGCCTCATCTATTGTTCTGTCCCATGTAGCAAAGGTAACGCCTGATATTTTAGGTTACGTTTTAAAATTCGTTGATAGAGATTGTGAGTTCTTTCACTGGCTCGAAAAGTACCACAGTATATTACAGTATTAACACCGATAGCTGGACGATTAGTTACCACACGGTATATTACAGTGTTAACACCGATAGCTGGACGATTAGTTACCACACGGTATATTACAGTGTTAACACCGATAGCTGGACGATTAGTTACCACACGGTATATTACAGTGTTAACACCGATAGCTGGATGATTGGCTACCACACGGTATATTACAGTGTTAACACCGATAGCTGGACGATTAGTTACCACACGGTATATTACAGTGTTAACACCGATAGCTGGATGATTGGTTACCACACGGTATATTACAGTATTAACACCAATAGCTGGATGATTGGTTACCGAATGTTAATCAGAAAGTTGGATTGTTGGTTACCAGACGATAGCTGGATCATCGGTTACTAGATGGTATGTTACAATGTTAACGCAGAAAGCTGGACTAATGGTTACCAGACAGTATGTTACAGTGTTGATGCCGAAAGTTGGACTATTGGTTAACAGACGGTATGTTACAGTTAATGCCGAATATTGGACTATTGGTTACCAAACGATAGCTGGATCATTGGTTACCATACGCCAGATTTGCTTTGTCCCGCTGATGAAAACATTTTTTTTGTGATATGTGAAGTAAAAGATGATATTGATTTGTTGAAATATAAGAATCTTACTTCAGCAACAGAATATGTATTTTTCTTTCAAGTTTATAAAACTGAACTATGTGGTTAGCTATGTTTGTTTAGTTTAAAACTTACAAGTTCTCCAAAAGTTGATGTATTCTATAAACTGGACCCTGAGCATATTATATTTACTTGACCTGTTCATAGAAATTACCGCGAGGAGGAACCTGCAACTTGACAGTTCGTTAGCAGAATCTTATATTAAGTCATTTTGTTGCTTTGATGTATATATGTTCAGATAACTCCTCCTATAGTTCTAAAGCTAGCAGGACCAAACTCGGCTGGCGGACTCTAGGTGGCCAGAGGTCATCCTTATCTATATGACGTAACCTCCCAATCCAAGAAGGCTAAGTTGCCCCTTAAGGTCACCCAGGCATGATGAAGGTCTAAGAGTAGGTTTTCAAGATTACTGTACTCAAATCTGGCATCGGACTTTGTGGTCCTGCGTCCCTTGTGATCCTGTGGCGCCATATTTAGCTTTGTTTATACCTCTATATCTTTTTTCAGCTGGCTCCTCCAACAGTTTGGAAGTTAAAAGTACCAAACTTATAGTCGGATTCTGGGATACCTATATTGTATAGCACCACTACCAAGGGTGGGGGTGGGGGGTAAATGTCACCGGAAGGATACTCAAGCATGTTGCTAGTATCTTAGTAGGCTTTCAGTATCGCTGAACCCGAATCTGATATTGGCTTTTGTGTTTCTGACCTATTTCGGAAGCGCCATATTTGAAACTGGCTGGACATAAACGATTAGGTACCCTAACGGGGTGTTTACGGGGACGAACCCCGTTGGGGTAGCTATAAAAGTAATTGGGGCTTATGGAGGTATATTGGGGCCTATGTGAATAACGAGGAAGGTCTTTGAATCCGGCAGTGAAAGCTTAGAAAACCTATCACTGTTAATAATTTATATAATAAAATTCCCCTGTTGCAGTTTTCGCTAAGTCCCACAAGAAGCGCCACCTTCGCCTTTAGGTGGTGAAGTTTTATAATGAGTACAGATATTGCTTTGGCCCTTGGATGTAAATCGAGTGTTATATGTGTTTATGCAAAATCCTATCAACTAATTTATATATAGCTGTGACGACTGCTACAAAAGGTATTTTGTAACATTGATTTGGCCTTATTGTTTTTGTGAACATGAAGTGGAAAACGTAAAGAAACCACCATAGAATTTTGGAGGTTTTTCAAAAGATTCTCGAGAGCTAAAAATGTGTGTAATGTTAATATGACATAAAAGTAAATTGGCTGACAAATTTTTAATCTAAAAATGTGGTAAATATACGAAAACAAAGAAAAAGGTTGTGTAATTTACACACAGAAAATAAGAAAAAACAATAATTTCCCAAGTTAAAATCAGGTTAGACTACATAATTTTACATTGTTTGCTCTTCTTTTCTTGAAATTCATATAATTTTTCTGCATTAGGTGAACTGCCAACATCAAAATCAAGCTCAAGAGGTAGCCCGGTGGCGTCATCTCGTGACCAAAGTATTAAACAGAGTCCAAGCCAGAGCCCTTCTTTAAGCCGTAAATCTGGTATTTCCTCTCTTCCGTACCAGGACAGCTTCTCGGACCACAGCTCTCTTCGCTCTGAGCAAATTGAGAAGATTGAGAAAGTATGGCGAGCTCAAAAGAATATCGATGGAGGAATGACTGTTGTGGAGGAGAGAATCAGTAACAGCCCCCGAGAATGTGGTAGTACTTGTGATAGCAGTAACGGCCGGACTAGAGAACCTCTGAACCTCTCGGACTTTACGTTGGACGCACTGATGGCCAATGCTGAAGTATTTGTTCAGGAAATACAACATCGCCAGCAGAGGCGACAGCTGTCTGTGATTCAGAAACACCAGCAGCGTCTGTCCGGAGCTCATTGTTCTATGCCAGACCTCACGCGAGATGCCAGTACATCGGCGCAAGGAACGCCACCACTGACCCCGCCAGTTGTACAAGATGTGGCAGAAAAGTGCTTTCAGGTGGAGGAAGAATCTTCCAGGCCATGTTCCGGAGGTAGAGCTAGTTCCAATAGCGGATCTTCCTCTAGACAATTGTGTGTTCACTTTGATCCTAAGGTTATCAAAGACCCGCCCTCTAGCGGCGGTACAGACTCCAATGCTGGAGCCAGGTCGCGGCATAACAGTTGTCGAGCTGAACCTGGAAGTGATTCTAGTTCTTCATCCAGTGAGGAGACTCTACCATCATCCCATAAAGTTCCAGCGAAAGTTCCGCCATCTAGTGGCAGAGCTGCCAAACATTCGTCTTCCCGTGGTGCCATTCCTCGCAGTAGAAGCTACGGTGGTCATCCTTCTTCGGAGGAAAATTTTCGAGATGGTTTGAACCAGAACGCAGAAAAGCTGTCCTATTCACAAACCCCAGGAACTAAATCCAAACTACATGGCATGGAGTTTGAGAGTAAAGTAGTGGATAAGTTTCTGAGTTCGAGAGTTGTTAAACCAAATGATGAAGACTGTTGCAGCACATGTTCAAGTTCAAGTTCCGACGACTACCCTTACGAACTGCCGCCAAGAAGAGCCTATGGAGGCGTGAGAATTTCGTACGTCAGCAATGACGCCCTTGCTGTGGCTCGTCAGAGAACTCGTACCCTTCCTATAATGAATGATGACAGGAAAAAAGAACAAAATAAAAATTGTATCATTTCATGAAATTATATATTTAACTCCGATGTATTCAGGTGTTCCTCTAAGTTCGTAGCTTTGCATCTATGCAACATTGAGTTGATCGATTTATTTGGATGTATAAAAGATTCTCGATGGTTATTGTTATTTAGGGGCATATACTTCAGAGGGTCTAAAAATGTTCGCGAAAACAATATGTAAGATCAAATTTGTTTCAGAATCCAAAAAAAAAACAAAAAAACTTTTACTTGTTTGTTAAATGAACAAGAAGTATTAATAAGAGATACAATAGATCAAAACTTTTTACAGCTGAACATAACTGACATTTTTGAGAGTTTGTTGCAAGCAGTTATTTAACCTGTCTTTAAAAGAAATTACATGTATACTGTTGCCCGGAATAGATTCTCTACAATTCCAATGGAAAAGTAATATTGTCGATTGTCTAGTGCCAAATTGTTAAAACACTGTTTGTTTGTTTTTCAGATACAAACATGAAAAATTATTATTATACCAATTTAAATACAGGGTTGGGAAAAGCGACTATACAGTTGTTTCGTTTAGAACGTAGTTTAATTTCTCACGTCTTACTTTGAAAAACTAAAATATGTTTCCATTGTCTTTGCAATATTTTCTTTAGTACCAACTGTATGGTAAAAGTTCCCCCACCCTATATAAGTATGTATATATAAATTTATGAGACTTCTTTTCATATTTCTAGTGTTAAAAACTATACAAATTGCTGAATAATAACAATTATGTTATGAAATTGGCAGACCTACAACACAAGTAGGTATGTATCAATTGATCTATTGCAGTGAGAGCTTTGCTTTGACTCTGAAAACACTCTTTCTATAAGATACTCGTCAGTATTTTTCATTATGAAATAATTAATTATAACAAAGTCATTCAGAAAATAATAACTAAATGTGGAACAGAATGACGAGAAATTAAAACTAATTCATTGCAGTTCTGTAAAGTTATGCAATGCTTCATAATTAAAAGCAGTAGTTAAGTTCATAAGCTTATAATAAAAATTAATAGTGTCTTCAGGGTAACATAATCAATTGCTTTCTGCGCCTTTCATTCACGTTAATCAAGTTTTTCTTGTTCCTCTTCGCTAATGGATATTCCTGGTGTCTTTGGTAATCTATTCAAACTGATATACCTTTTTTATAATATATATATATTAAAGATAAAACAGATAAATTTAGTCAAACATTTCAATTGTGCCTCCTCAGCAATGAAGAATGGATCTTTTCTCATTTGAAGACTGTTTTGTAGCGTCCTTTTTGTTGTTGTTGTTTTTTATTGTTGGTTTTACTCAGTATTCCTACATCCTCAGATTTATCAGCTTCTTACCAAAAGACATATTCCACTGTCGTTGAGTCGCTAAAAGAAATAAGCAGATGAGAGAATTCAAGACTAATCGCCAGTAAATAGTAGCTTTTCATTGTCATAAATAATCTAGCCTTTAACTTTCAAGGGCTCGGTTCTTTCAAGCGGAAAGATCCAAAGTAAACAGAGGGCGTATATGATCTATATTCTGCTTACTGAATGTGCAAGTTAAGCTTCAATGTAATGTAGCGCCTAAAGCTGCAAAATGGGTTCTCTACGCTGTGCCCACCGAAGGGATTGAGTCCCAATTTTTTCAGCGTTCTAAGCTCTCAGGCTTCCCCCTGAGCGACTATTGTTTAACTTAATTCAGAGTAAGTGATGCAGTTTAGAAGATTAAATGATTTATTACCCACTAAAGCTGAAGCCTGTAACAATACACTAAGTGGGCTTTTCTAAATAATTTCCTGTTTGCTATTTCGAACTGAGAACATCAACAAATTAGATTTAAGGGGAAGTATATATTTTAAGATTTATCGTTGTTAGTATCTATAAAAGCCGTCAGATGCCAGCACTTACTATACCGCTACATATGATCATTTTTATTAATTGTATCCAATTTTTAAAAAAGATTAAAACCTTCACATTAGCTGGAATTCTTTTCGAAAGCATAAAAGCTAAATTTCGTTAAACCCCACCATGGTCAACAGGGTATCCGGAAATTACCTTACTATTGTATCGATTTTTAATTTAATTCTTAAGTTAGAATTTGTTTTTTTCGATTCATTATTGTACTGTTAACTTTTGTATACGTACTGTATAGAATTGAAGTAAAAACTCGTTTTCGGGAAGGAAAATTTTACCAAGGTATATTTCGCTGTGAAATTCTATTAAATTTCTACCTGTGTATTTGTTTCACTGTATTTATTTTACAAATTTATATGACGGGAAATTGTTAGTTCTTCACAGTAATTCCCATTCTCTTCGAATGAGTTTAAGATATTTAAATCAGTTCTAAACGAGAAAGATTTGTTTGTTCGAAGTTGAGCACAAAGCTACATCCGCGCTCTGGCCACCACAGGTATAGAAACCCGGTTTGTAGCGTTATAAGTCCACAGACATACCGCTGCTCTACTGGGAGGCCAAACGAGAAAGAAGGAAGAGCTTTAAAAATGCCAAAAATGTTTTAAAAATACCATAATAATCCAACAAAAGTTATAAAGTTATGTGGTAATATAATTTCCGCGCACAATAGTAATTATTACTAGCTGCTCAAATTAGACCTATCATATTAATTTTTTATATGCATCTTTGCTCATAAATCATATTATTCTTAGCAAGAACATTGTATACATTTTCGAAACAGTTAATGGATAATCCCGAATCAAAGTAACGAGCCAAGAGATTCGTCATTGGGGTCATGCTCATTTGTATTAAACGAGATTTAAACTTGTATTTTGTTTTGTTTGAGATCATGTTTGTGGTCTTCTTCTTCTACGTAAGACTCAGTGTTTTGTAAAAGAGTAAGGTACATCAAATTAGCTTTTGTACAAAACAACCTTATACTTTTGAAGACACGGGTCCTTAAATTGTAAAACCAGTATTGATTTTTGTATGTAGTCTTTGTGACCACACAAAAAAAGAAAATAATAAGAATAAAGTTTACCAATTAATTCAAAATATTTGCGACTGATGGTGAACTTGCTTACTTTTAATACATAATTCCTTCACACAAGTGTAGCATATGTTTTAATTATGGAGTTAAATCATCTGGTTCCAAACACTGAATTCATGAAATCAAATGAAATATTTTTTTATTCAAACTTTCTGACGTAGGCGAAGACAAGACTGTCATTATGCCACACACGTAGAGGGAACAAGACTGTCATTATGCCCGACACGTTGAAGGAATAAGAATGTCATTATGCCCGACACGTAGAGGACAAGACTGTCATTATGCTCGACACGTAGAGGGAACAAGACTGTCATTAATCCCGACACGTAAAGGAAATAATACAATATTAAACTATTTTTGTCTTGATAATGTTTTGAGATATTATTATAAACATTTGTACATTTTTAATAAAATAAATTGTACAGTTTAAATCAAAATAAAAACGTACAAAGTTTTGTAAAATATTAAAGTTTAATCAACAAAAGAACATATATTTTAGATTTGAATAATAAGGATACTGAATACAGTAATATCCCATTTAGCACTCAGGAAGGATTCCTGAGAACAGAGCTCTAAACGAATCAGTTCTGAACAGCGTCATTTTAACATTACATATATGGAGGTATGTAACTGAAGGCATTGTTTCTCACCTGTGAATGATGTATAAATGTTTTATTTAGGTACTGGTAAATTTAACATAAATTACTCACTATAATATCGTCATCGCTGGGAAAAAAGCTAATTTTTATTAGCCTTCAAACTTGTTTGGTTACGGGGCCATCAAATAGAAAATCAGACCCCTTGTCACATCCTCTCTTTCAGGATTTGTCAATGCATGTAGTTCTCTCTTTCATTTGCGACTATATTAGTTATATACAATAGACAGGCAAGGTTTTCGTCTATAGAACAACGTATTATATTACGTTGTTTTCTGTACAGAGATATGTAGATCGCTTCCTAAGAAGATGTTGTTTTTTTCCCTCACGGGAACAATATCGTGTAGATAGATGACGTTTTAACGGTTCATATTGCGTCGCTAGAAACATCAGAAACATTGTGATAGTTGCTTTTTGCATGTTATTATTATTTTATTAAATGAAAATTCTTTAGTGCACTACTACCATTAGTATGAAAAAGTAATGTTCAGAGAGTTATGGATTTTTTTTTCTATCTCTCGAGAATAAATAATCTCTCAAGGAGACAAAAGCTCTATAACGAATCATGATATTACTACCAGTTGATAGCTTTTATCAGTCACATTTTTATTTTGAGGAAACAAAAGACATTTGTAAACAAACGTGTGGAAAAGTAAAGTCTCGCACAATTGTAGTCAGATGTAAAACAATATTCAAAGAAAAATTAATCGCTATTTAACTAAAACTCCGATAGATGGGGCAGCAATAACTTTTCCCGTGTTTTGTTTTTAAAGGAAAAAAGTGCTGTTTAAAACTGCTTTTTCATATTTTACACTTAAGTATAACTTCAAATCTAATTCGTTTTCTTAACTAGAACTACTAGAAACACACACTAAATAAGAAATTATAATAATCTAAATAACTAAGATAAATGTTTAATGTGGCTGGATCAGTACTTCTTTAGATCATTTTAGATCCAAAGAGCTATTTGTCAGTTGAACATTCATAACTCCAACAAGGGAAGTCAGTCTCCTTTTACAATATACAAAAGAGAGAGAGAATGCAGATATATTAATATCTAACCCTTCCTATGAGAAATCCATATTCTTCAACCCATATATAACTTCGTAAATTTATAAAAAACAACCTGCCTTCTAAACCACAAAAAACAAGAAACAATCTCACGTGATAATTTTGTATTTCAATTATACTCCATACAACAGTCATTTTTGCACTGTACTTTATCATGTAAAACAAGTTCGTTCTTTGCCTTAATGTCTAAATAAAATAAATCTCTCTTACACCATCTTTTAAAGGCATTGAAAATGTATCTAACTTACGATAATTCATCGAATAAAATCATTAATATACCAATTAAAGTTTGAAAACAAATATAATCTAAATAAAAGTAGATACAATCATAATAAGTAATGTTATGTGTACTTCCTGATGGATTCTCCTGGAGATGGTGGAGTTATTTCCACCGAAACATGTAGTTTTAAGTTTCTTTTATTTTTTTACCTTTAGCAAATAAATGATTGTGCAAGTAAAAAAAGGTTGATTTTCGTTTTATTATTTTATTCAACAATTTTTCACAAGAACTGTCTGTTTTACGTATTGTTGATGCAATCCTTTTTGAAAGCATAATTATTTGCAAATATTTTAATATGGTTTGAATTATGCGAAGGCAGCTAGTCATCACCACCCACCGCCAACTCTTGGGCTACTCTTTCACCAACGAATAGTGAGATTGAACGTCACATCATAATGGCTCCACTGCTTAAAGGGTAAGCATGTTTGGTGGGACGGGGACTCGAACCCGCAGATAGCGAGTCGAGCACCCTAACTACCTGTCCATGCCAGACCATTTTGATGTGAAAACTTGGACATTTTGGATTAATTGTGATGTTATAATAGTATTCTCAAGTGCGAGATGAGTGAGATTTTTCCAAAATTACTTCAAATGTTCTATTAGTGCTACGGTATTTCAAGTATGTGGATACAACTTACACAATAATAAAATAATTTGTTTTCCCTTCTATTCATACTGGTAAACCAAAACTGCAAGTTGTCAGAAAAATGTGTTTTCTTCTTAACATCAGAGAGAGAATAGCTATATTAAATGTTTTACGATAAAAAATAGTAGATTAAAACAATTTGAATATGTAGCATGTTTAACACTGGATATAAGATATCAGCTACAGTTAGGAACAATAGAAAACTGTATCAATATACAATTACACCAATCTCTTTATTCGGCTGATCTTCGTAAATTTCGAAGGAGCCCTACTCATCGTAATATTTATTCACTCAGTTGAACAAGCACGTGCTAGTGTACATGCAAAATCAACTTTAGAACACCCTTTATAAACCCATTTTTACAATTGAAAGTTGCTAGTTTTGTAGTGCAGGTACTTATGATATCAGAATTAGTTTACAGAATTAGTTTTCATACTACCCATGACTAAATGGTGGAGGTCTCCCTCTTTACAGAGGTACCACTATTTATGACATCAGACTGATTTACAGTGGTCATTCCACCTCTGACTAAGCGTTGAAGGTATGTCAGGATATCTCTCTGTACAGCGGTTCCACTACTTGTGATATCCGAACTGATTTACAGAGATCATCCTACTCTTGATCAAATGATGGAACACTTCAGGGCATCCCTCTGTACAGCGATTCCACCACCCCAGTAGCACAGCAGTACGTTTAAAGGCATATAATGCTAAAAACCGAGTTTGATACCAATGATTCGCACAGCACAGATAGTCCACTGTATAGCTTTATGCTTAATTAACTACAAACAAACCACAGCAGTTCCATTGATTGTGACATAAGAACTCATTTACAGTGGTCACCCTTGACCAAATCGTGAAGATACGCCAGGACATTCATCTGTACAGCGGTTCCAGATAGTTATCTTGTATTTTGGTCTATGAACATGTTACTCAAGTGTGTCCTGAGGCGGTGGTAGACAAGTACTTCGTTTCAGAGTATTTAAGAACGAACTGTACCTAAGAGAATTGATTGCAGTATCACCACAACGGATCTTATTGTATGATACAAAGACGTGACAAATTTCTCAACAGAGTGCATTGTCCAGCTAGTAGAGGATTATTGTACTGTCACTATATAACAACCACATTGGTGTAATAGGTGTTACTTTTTCATCCACATGTGAATTCATTGTTGTAAGCAGCTACTTGTGTAAAGGCGTTACTCTGAATGTTTGCAGAAATTATATCATAATCGACTAACTGCTGTCGGTCAGTAAAAGAAACTTCAATGTGTAATAGTTGATCATGTGAGAAACAATGACCAAAGTGGTTCAGAAATGTGATGACCTCTCGACTTCGAGTCAAATGATGAATGGAATTGGCAACTGTTACATTTATTGAGATAAAATGTCCACCTTTATATGTTACAAAGACCAGATCCTGATCAGTTGTGTCCTCCGATATGACAAGCGGTAAGTCTACGGATTTACAACGCTAAAATCAGGGGTTCGAATGTGACTTTGCTATAAAAACACACACACACTTATCGATGGTAAACAGCGCTTATAAGGGTAATTGTCTGCAACGATTGGGGACTCCATCAAGTCAGATTCATTAATGAATCCTGCAACAAGACATTGAAGAAAGAGCAAATGACATGACTCAAAAGTGGTATTCTCATTAGTCACCCAAGTTCTTAATATAATGGTTAAAGATGTAGCAGTATTATATAATTTTCCAGCTGCTCCTGAAATTATTACTTTTGTCGCTCATGTCAACTTCTGGTGAATCAAGTTTAATAACTGGATCGGTGGTGATATCTGTTAATCACTCAATATGTCACT